AATAATTATGATAAATTAAATTTTCTGTCTGAAGCTTCAAAATCATGTGTTCAAAAGGATCGAGTCAAATTACCCATCTTGCTTGAATATATTAAATTTACTATTAAGTATATTCAAAATTGGTAGGTGTTGCATCAGAACAAATCACTGTTTCTAGAATGTCTTGTTTGTGTATTAGTCACTATTTGTTTCTTTTCATCATTTCTATACAAATCAATTTCTCTTGTGTAAACAGCTAAGATTTGGGCAAAAAGGAAAACAGACATTAAAGTAGGCTGAAGTACTTAATAGTTTAAAAGACCATCAAGCATGCATGATTTTTTCAGTTACTACTCTGGAAAAATTTCAGATAAGCAATGCATCAGCCGCTGTAGAACCCTTTAGGGTACCTTTGTCGCTTAGTGCAATCTGCAGATCATTTTCAGGTTCTTGATGCTGCAGTGCTTGGGTTGTAAACCCCACAATGGGACTTTTTGCACTAAAACTGCTGACAAGGTGTTTTATTAATTATAATATCAAATGCATTGGCTTCAGTTTTTGTTAAAGTTTATTAAATTGCAAACTCTGTGCTTATCATGTGTGAGGCTTTATTCTCATACCTACTTTGTTTTATAAATATGAAGCTTTTGGGTTGTAAGTATCTTTCATGCTAATAAAGTCTGCGAGTTTAGTAAACCTTGTAGGTACTTGTTTACATGGGGAATATTTATGTTTGAAAATTGGTTAAAAATCCTGTGCGTTGACTGGCGTTCTTTCTGTTTCAGGATTCAGCAAGCAGGAAATGAAGCCTATATTTTAGCGCTCTCTTTCTTCAGTGTACCTTCAGTAGGAGCAGCCTGTGTCTGTTTTCTAGAATTGCTCGGTCTCGACAGCCTCAAACTCAGGGTTGATATTAAAGTTGCAAACATAATTTTCAGTTACAGAACTAGAAATGAAGAATCTCAGCACAATCAAATAAGAGAATCTTTGGGTAAGGGTGTCTTTTGTTTGTTTCGGAATAGGGTACTATGTATTTATTGGGAAGAGAAGCAGAGATGGATTGAAGGATGGTGCTTAACTTCTCAGGAATGTGGTAAAAGCATCCTATCCTTTGAAGAGCTAAGATTTTTGCTCTTTTATTCCTGCTTCTTACTAATTTTGAAGGTGCATTTTGAACCTGGCATACCGAATAAGGCAGGAAGACTGTAATATGACATGCAGCCAGAATTGCAGGAGTGTGTAATAGACACTGTTGAACAGCTGCCGAAGGCTCAGTGTAATATTTAGTAAGGATCAGACTAATGTAATAATATAACTAGAGGAATAAACAAAGTGACATTACCAAATCTCTTTTATCTTTTGTACTTGAAAACTGTCTTAGAGGTGCAGTGAATTCAGATGTTCAAAACTGTAAGGAAATTAAATTTATCCTAGGAATAACTTTAGAAAGTCGAATTTCTAACTATAGGTTCATGGTTGTCTCTTTGTCCCAACTAGGAAACTACTGGCATTTATTTACATTTTCCTGATAATTCTAAAAACATATATGTTATTTAAAACTATAGGTAGAGCTTATTTAAAAAAAAAAAAAAATGTTATGTGATTTGAAATTTGATGTTCTTTTTCAAAAATCATGTAGCCACTTTGGTGCCAGACTTGGCATAGTTATTGAAACATTTACATTAATAGGATTTGTTCTGCTTGTTGATTCTGGTACTTTTAAAATACTACTCTTACTCTGATCCCAACTAGCATCTCAGAAATAGTAATATGTTCTTTTGAACAGTTGAAAAGTTAACCAAATTGGCTGACGGTGAAAAAGCAGCAGCAGCAGAAGTTCTTATCTCCTTAGAAGAAGCCTTTTGGGATGCAGTTGAGCATCAAGGAATAAAGAAGTGAGTACAACATGATTTAAAGGATTATGCTGGCAAATTGGGATTGAGCACTGAATTTTACCATTTGTGTATTCAGATGATATTAAAGAGATCCGTGTGTATTATTGCAGTAAACTGAACAACAATCTTTGAATTTAGAATATAGTCTTGGTATTTCAAATAGTAGAGGCAATAGATGTATATTAGCAAGAATAAGGAAGCGCAGTCAGCATGTTAGACTCACTGTTCCACAGAGCTCTTGCAGCACGCTTCGGAGTGAAGATTGTTGACTTCTTTTCAAAGTCTACGTTGTCAAGATAGGACAACGTACCTGCCTTGGCGGGTGGGAATGTCCACAGGGTGCCGTATGGAAGCTCCCACAGTGGAACGTGACCTAATCTGTAGTGAAGCTGGTGGAAGTGCTGGCGTTGCCATTTGCAGGCAGTGGATCTCAGGCCGCATGATGGGTTTATACATTGTTAACATCTGGGATAAACACCAGTTTCTTACAGCTGAAGCTGTTTAAATTCCATGCAGGACATCTAGTGACTCTAGAAGGCAGTGGTCTTTGGTAATGCAGTTCTGTAAACTCCATAATATCGGACTGAGCACATCGTACCTAAAGGAATGTGCCAAATCCAATGACTGGCTGCAGTTCATCATCCAAACCCAGCTGTACAGCTACCAGCCAGATGAGGTAAGCTATCTGTATGATTTGAAATGAAGATAGAGTTTGTCAAGAATGTTCTTTGTCTGTGATGTTCAAAGGAAAGAAAAAAGAAGAAAAAAATAGATTCTTTTAACAGGAGAATGTCACGCTGTGGAGACAACATAAAGTTGAAGCCTCATCAGTTTCCAGGGAGTTCGAAGTTGTCTCAGGATGCTCAATACCCTCTGATTATGGTAGCCTTTCTCTTACAGCTGGATTCGCCAACTTTTCTGCTTGTCTCTCCCTCTCGGCATGTGAATAGCTAACACAAGACAAAGGAAATTGACTCCAGAGGGAGCTGACTGTTCAGCAGATACAATAATACGCTTCTGAGAGCATGGAAGCTAACTATTACAGGAGAAGATTAGGAAAAAAATTCCCTGTCTGAAAAATCTTATGTGATGTTACTAATCAGTAGTGGAGAAAACAATTTTCAGAGAGGAGCGATTTGAGTGTCTCTTTGAAGTGGACACAAAAGTATTTGCCAAGAGGGGACTTAATTTTAAATTTAGTTAAAATTATGACATACTCATAGTGTTTGTAAGTCTAATTTAAAATAATTTAGTTAGTTTTTTTTTATTGGAGAGTTACCATATGTTCAACATAAGTTTTAATAAAGCCACTCATCTTTCCTTTCAAAACTAACATTTTTGTGTAAAGATATTTAAGCTTTTGAGAGTGCAAATCTTCCATTTTTGGCTTTGAACATAATTTAAAAATCAATAAAATATTACCAATACGTAAAAATGAAAATCAGTTTGGGAAGAGTAATGTGAGGAAGATAACTGGAAAATTCCAGGTAAGGTAATACTTCACAGGCCTCAGATTTTAACTTGGATCACTTTGTTGTCTTCTTGAAAAGAAAAATACGTGATTACACAACAGCAACTAATGACACTTTTCATGAAATGCTGTTAGCAGTACAAGAGATGTGACAAAAACAAGTGTCTCTAGGAGGCATTTTAGCTTCATGTAAAAAGATGAGCTTCAATATTTTATTAGAATAATTCACACCTACAGAATGCTTTTTCCCCTCTAGGTCTCGAAAAAAGTTCTAAAAAATCAAATTTGAAGACTGTTTTCTTTGTCTTTTCTATGATTTAACGCTTCAGTCCTTCTTCCCCCTCATTCTCTTTGGATCTCACTCTGTATAGGTGCTTTTGGTTCTGTTTTCCTAGGTCATTTCTATCCTTCAAGATTTCACTCCCGTTTTACAAGATCACTTGATGTTGGCGTTGGAGAAGTTGCCATTTTTGCGTCCTGATGCAGGGAGTCCTGAAAACAGTGCTGCCAGCGTGTTCAAGAGCAAATATGCAGATAGTCTTTTTCAAATCCTTTTTCAATGTCAGGGGAACTCCAACCCTTCATGTTACCTTCTGACTGAAGGATTGAGAGAGCATGCTCCCATTCTGAGTGTTTTAGCAGCATGTTTCCAAGTGAGTATTGATGAAGTTATTTATCTTTTAGCGGAATAAGTAATAAAAAAGTGATGGTTGTGCATAATTATGTTAAATGGTAGATATGTAGGTTGCATTCATCGAGCTTTTTTTTCTCAGTTTTTGTAGTAATTGTGAATAGGATGACACATTTAGCCAAGTGATATATAACGAGGTGATGTTTGTCTCTGGTTATTATAAACCATCATTTTTGGCATTTGACAGGATGCAAACATTGTTCATTGTCTCTGTGTTTGGATGATTACTACTGTGGATGATACTACCAGAGCTGAAGCAACAAGCCATATTCGAAGCTCAGCAGAAAATCACGAATGGGATCTTCACGACCTATCAGTTATCTGGAAAGTCTTTTTAAGAAAGCAAAAAAGTAAAACACTTCTAAATGGCTTCCAGCTCTTTTTAAAGGTAAGGTAATGTCTTTTTAGTGGCATACTTGAGTGTATCTCAAATCATCTTGGAGATGGCCCATAGATTCCCCTTCTGTCTTGCTGTTTGTGGCCTAGATAACCTGGGTGTAATCCACTGAAAATCCCAGTCAAGTAAGAAAATCTTTGCATGGAAGTTCTTCCAATTATGACAAATTTGCAGATCATATGTCAACCTTGCATGCAATTTTAATAAATGAGAACTTTATTGTTCTGGTACTGAGGAAGACAAATACTACATTTATTGAGGTACTTCGAGGAAAGAATTATAACCTATTTTTGTGTCTTAAAGGATTCCCCTTTACTGTATATATTGGAGATGTATGAACTATGTATGAACTGTAAAAAATACAATGAAGCTAAAACCAAACTGGACAAGTTTCAGGAAAGTCTCACAAAAGTAAGTAAATTCATTTTCTCTAATTGTCTTTGCCTACATCTTCCCTTATTAGGCGTCTAATGTTGTGTATGAAAATAGTGAAAAAGGGTATGCTTAGAATGATCTAGGAGCTGATTTGTGAAGCAGTAGGTTTCAGCAGATTCTTTTTATTGCTGGTAGTTGGTGGAAAACTGCTTTTGACAATTCAAAACCCACAATGCATTTTTCTGAATTACTTTAAGTTGATATGGGCAGATTGAAATACAATGTCATCCTCCTTGTGTGAGCATTTTACTGTTTGAAGGTTGGCATTGACTCAAGTAGGACCACTGTTGGTAAATTGAATTATTTGTGGTGGGTAAGTGTGGGATATTCTCTATTCTGTATTGACTAGGGCAAGTCAATACTGAGCTGATAAACCAGTGACTTACAGGGAATGCCTGTTTAAGACAGACAACTTTTTTGAATATGTTTCGAAGTTTCTGAAAAAGTCTGTGATATTGCTTTAGTTTTGGTAGTTGTGTAGACTTTCCTTTGAAAATGACTCAGTGAACTGAATTACACACTTGGATTAAAACACTGATTCAGCAGTTGGTTTTAAGAGGACCAAAGTGTTTTCATGCAGTGTTCCTTGTTTGTCACATACAGATGTTTTCACAAATTATTTCAGTTCTTTCCATCACAGCTTTCTAGTTGCGTGAATATCTTGGTAACTAACATTCCATGTCATTGTGACCTTCCTTCCTGCAATTCAAGCTAAGGCTAGATCAGTTTCCTTTTCTGTGCGCCACTCAAAGTATACAGCTGTGTGAGAAGAGCTATTAATCTAGCAATTTATTTTATCTATCCATTTCTGATCCATCTTGCATCTTTTATCTCTTCCATGATTATCAGGAGTAATGGGTGGCCACCCCGTCATAAAATTTACTACTTTCAGATCAAAGTCAAACATACATCAGTGATGAATCAGTGCCCCCTTGGGAATGGCAGTTCATTGTTTCTTAAAGAAGGAGATAGATCTGGTACACCCACCAAAATGTAGAATATGATTCTATGATTCTATATATTTGCAAAAAAAAACCCCAACACTTGAACATCTTTATCTACACAGCTCAAAACTGAAGATGAACCAGCAGCTTCAGAATTACCTGTGCAATGGTTGGAATCACAAGCATTGGTTCTTCTTGACTTGATGATGCAGCAATGTAGAACGGAATATGAATTAGGAAAGCTCCTACAGCTGTTTGCTGCAGCAGATAATCTTCTACTCAATGGTAAATACAGCTTCCTCTGTTAGATGATATTACCGCTTTAATCTCAAGACCACATATGATGTCTTTGGAGTGACTGAAAATGTTTACTTTAAGTGTATTCATACTCTTTTATTTTTGTATAAGAATTTATATAACCAGAGTTGGTCCTTACGGTGAATTGCAGTGGTGAAAATGTAATTGTGTGTGTAAGACTGTTTGGGAGAATGATTACGTGCAAGTGTTGATGAGGAGTGCGCAGATTATCTACAGAAGTATTGTAGTTATGGATTTAGAGCTTACTTTCAGTCCCATGAAAGCTTTAGAGTGCAAAATCTGTGCTCCTTCTCTGGCAGGGTTGCATGCTGAAATAAGTAGCAGAATTTCCTTAGGTTTAAAAAGCAGCTGCCTTTAATTGTTTATACTTTTAAAACAGGCCCTTATGTGAAGAAACTCTATGCACTCAGTGAGACCCTGAAGGATTCCTCCATACCAATTAATCGCTCCACCCTAACCAGTTACAATATGGAGACATTTCAGAGTCAGTGCAGATCAATTCTGGAGCAGCTACAAGAGAAGGGAATGTTCTCACTGGCTCGGGAAGTAGCAGCGCTAGCTGAATTGCCCGTGGACAACGTAGTTACCCAAGAGGTACAGTATAGTTGAACAATGCTATTCACCTCCTATTACTGGCAGTATTGAGAATGTTACCTCTCAGTCTTCCCGAAACACAATTTTTTCTTCAGATAGCTTTTTATTTTAAATGCAAGTACACCGAAGAAGTTGACTAGAAGCGCTGAGCTGAAAAAGACAGTGCAGCTTTCCTTATTCTCTTACTATTTTTACTTGCTATAGAGTCAGTTTCATTTGGTGAGAAAAATAGATGGATTTGTTGCATATTGAGACACATAATCTAAATTAAGTTTTTCAGTATTCTAGCCATCCAGTGTGGTTTTTCTTTTTTGGAAAGAGAGTTGTTTGAAACCTTTGTGAATTTTGCAGGTGCTAAGAGATCTACGTCATTTAAGGGACATTGGACAGTGGTATCAAAACCAGACAAGAATTGAATTCTGGAAAAAATGTAATGACAACTTCATGAAAAATTCAATCTCCAGCGAAGCAGCATCTGATTTTTTTTTTAATCAGGCAAACACAGTATTTGAATCTTTAGCTCATGAGAAGATAAACAGCATTATGGAGAGACATTTGCTGCTTCCCCTAGCTGGCCATTGGCTAGCCAAGAATGACTCGGTGTCACTGCACAAATTAGAAGAAATAGAGAAGCAGATCTGGATTTGTCGCATCACACAACAAACGTTATCCACAGATGAGGGGTCAGGCAAGTCGAGATTTTCCTCCCATGTTGTAGTGAACAGGGATCTTACCTTCGATAGCTTAGCTAAGGAGTTTTCTTTTTCAAAGCTACCTGCTCTGAACACACCAAAGTACTTAAAACTAGAGGGTCTTGCTTTCAGAGAGTCTCAACAGACCTTGACTAATGAGGAGGAGGAATCACTCAAGTTTCTGATCGGATGCCTTCTTGATGAAGGAAGTGTGCATGAAGCCAGCCGTGTTTGTCACTATTTCCATTTCTACAACAGAGATGTGTCCGTGGTATTGCATTGCAGAGCTCTGGCCTCAGGGGAGGCTGATCTAGACAAATTGCACACAGATATTCAGACTCTCCTTGTAGCAAGAGAGAAGACATGTGAAAGCAGTGCACCTCCGCCAAGCAGAGTCCCAAGTGGTAAGTAACACTAACCGATTCAGCCACTTGACAAGTAATACCATTGCTGGGCTTCCACTGGATTCTTCCTCTTTTGTTACAGTGTTAATTTCCCCCAAAATTTCTGCAGGAAATAAGGTCTTCCTGCCAGCGGGTTATCTCATTGGTTCATAAATTGTCTAGTGAATGGAATTTGAAGCCTTGTAATATACATTGCTTGTATGTGCTTCAGACACATGTGTTTCTGTATACAGTTTCTGTAGTCTCTTAACTGTTCATTTTTTATAGTTCACAATTCTGTTCCGGCAAAGTAGCACTGAACTTCATCTGTGTTCCTGCTTTTGGAATACACACTCTAGTAAATCTTGAGTGTGTTTCTGGAGCTGAAACATGGAAATGCTTTAATTACTATTTTCTCTGAATCCTTTGTGCATTATAAAGGGTTTAATGTTTCTTATTAATAGCAAGGCTGGTAATGTTTATATATAAAGTACTCTGTGCGTATTTAGGAAGTCTGAATGAGAAAGCTGTCAGCTGGAACATTACCTTCTAATACTAACATGTATAAAGCTTAATAGGAATAGAAGAGAATAAATGAAGCCT